CAGAGCTCATACTTCCCTTTATCTCTGAAGCTTCCTTTCTCGGTTGGGGGAAGCCAGTGAGGCCAGCTTGACTTACTTTACTTTGTGAAAAGTTGACAGAGATTAAACAAAACCAAAAACCAGTCGGTGAAAAAAACCAATGGGTTTCTCAAGGCTGACTCTTCCAATATGTGCAAGACAGAAGAGGGGAGCAATGGACTGATGCTTGTTAATTCTTTTTTTTAACCTTTTAAAATTAATATATAATTGACATGTAACATTATTTCTTGAAGAAGTACTCTCTATACATGAAAAGGGATGATGTGCTGCCAAGAGAAAGCTGGGGACAAAGGGAAAGAAGAGGTTGAATTAGGAATTGAGGGCTATCCACCTGGAACTCTCTTTACTCCTGAGGTTTTAGCTGTGAAGCCATTGCACTTCAATGGCATAGGGCTGACATAGCTAGTTTAGAGGCACAAGAAAGATTTGCTTTCTTCCCACTCCATAAAGCTTTGGGATTCTACAGTGAATAAATGCCTAAATAAAAAGTGGAGTTTGGTATGTGTTTGCTGGGGCAAGGCCAGCAAATGGCATGCAATGCAAGTGCAAAGGAATCTCCCTTCTCTCTGCTTGTCCCTGGATGAGGGACCTTCTTATGTACCCCTGGGCATCAAGGATCAACAATCCAGAGATAAGTGCTCACCTGGAAAAACAGTGAGCTCTGTATCCCAATTTTCCCACTTCAGAGCACTGAAGCAACACACCTTGTAGGATTGAAGAAGGCAGAGATCCTCATTCATGCCACATGTTTCTGTACATGAGTTATTTAAATAAAATTATGCAAATTCTCTCATTTCCCTAGTTTGCAATGATTTTATTTTATCTTGACACCATAATGAAGAGCAGTGGAAAGAACATGGACTTAAGGGTTATGTCTTTGGTTTATGGCCCTCTGTTCCAGAGATCTAAGACATTGCAGAGGTGGAAAAAAATACCAGGTATTGGGTAGTGCATTTTTGGAGGAGTTAATACTAAGTGTTTTTCTTGGAATTTAACTTCCCTGTGAAGGTTTTGAACTCTCATTTCTCTGTGGAATCTACCAATGGGAGGGGTACATATTGTTCAAATTATGGGCATTTTTGTGCTAATGTGACTTTTTTGGGGTAGGAGAAGCTAAGATGTGTTAAAAGATAAACTGAGGTACATTAAAATTTTCAAGAGTTTCTTTGAGTATACATCCATTCAAACTGGGCAGCACTAAACTGAAAGTGTTTAGTAGGGGTACTCCACCAACAGGAACTAAGAAGTTTTAATAGAAAAGATGTGGAAGTGAACCCAGGAAATTGTTTATTGACTATGAACTTAAGTGATTGCCTTACACGGGATAGTCTAGGTGGCTAGAGGCATTTGGCTCTAAGCAAGAGCATTGGCTCTTGCTTATATGTGGTTTCCTTGCTACCAAGCAAGCTACCAAGGTGTTAGAGTCACCCCGGCCTAATGGTCTCCTTATTTAATAACTTTAACAGATGGATTTATGATGAGCTTGACAATAGAATAGGGGGTGAATTTTTGATGCAGGACATTGTATGGCCTTTAAGTAAACTTAATTACAGCCCTGCCCTGGTCCATTTCAGAAGTGTGGGGGCAAATACACAACCCCACTCTCACTGGCCTCAGAGAGGGATAAGTATTGATGGAGAGGCCAAGTGAAAGAGACAGTGGGTTGACTTAAGAATTTCTTGTTAAGCCCAATGGTTGAGAGAGAACTTGTCAGGGTGGGACTCCAGTAAGTGAGGAAAGGGAACTCTCAGCATCTCTCCTCAACCTAGGAACATCTCCCTTCTTGATCCTCTGAGCCCACAGTCTCCATTGTCCTTCTGAACAATGAGGAACTCTCAAATGATTGGTTAGAATCTGAAACGCAGTCTAATGGGTTCTAATTGGTCACATTCACTAGTGGCTGAGATTACTATGCTATACAAGGTTACCTGGCCTGGGATGCTCTTCTCTTCAAATCTTTCCTTCCATGTGCCAGATGGGCAAGCTAAGGCAGGGCATACTCACTATAATGGGCTGAGCCATCTTGTTTTTTGCTTTACTTCCTCTTACCTGCGTGTTACATCTTGCAGGAAGAACTTTTGATTCACTGGCCAGCAGATTTTAAGACTGGGATTAAGGGACAATCAAGAATGTTTCTTTGGACCTAATGCCTTAAATTCTGGGTTCCATTCCAACTTCATTGGCGAACCTGGCACTAAGGGTTATTGTTACCAGCTAATAACAGAATGTCTCAATTCTTAACTGATATTCATTCATCTTTGTGTGAATTCTCCCTCAGGAATGTCAGAAAGAACAGTTATTATTGACAGTACAGGATTTTCACGTTTCGGAAACCCTGGCTCTTAGGATGACTGGTTTGCCTATCAGTACGGAATTTCCTGAGGAACAGGACTTTCAGTGCTAAAACCAGGAAAGTCCTTGAGAGGCCAAGATGAGTTAATCACCCTGCTGAAACAGCATCTCAAACCATTAAACCTCAGACATAAATTTAACTACTATTAGTTGTGCAACCTGGGATATGTTATCAACTCTATCTGAGCCTTCAATTTCTCGGTTGTAGAAGGGTTTTTATGAATATTAAATTAGACTAAATTAAATTTCCTAGAATATTTCCTGGTCTGTCATAGATGCCATGTTAATATGTGTTTCTATTTTTTTTAACTTTTATTAATGCAGCAGAAGATAAAATGATATTCTGAGGAAAAAAAAACACAAAACAGGAAAAATTGAAGTGCTTTTCTGATTTAAAGAATTGGAAAGGCTTTCTGAGTCTCCTTTTCTTCTCAGCTTTCCAACCTAATGGTAAGTAGCATCAGGATTGGACAATGAAACAATGAATGTATTCCATTCCTATAATAAAGTAGGGGCCACGTATTTAAATGACTGCAGAGGCTATGTGGGAAACATGAATGAATGAAATGGGATGAATGGGGCTTGTGGCGAACAGATCGTGGCCCTGTGGGAAGGAGAGCCCAAAATGTGCCAGATCTTACTAGTTTTTTCTAGAGAAGCCATGTATATAGTTTTTTAAAAAAAGATTTTATTTATTTATTCATGAGAGACACAGAGAAAGAGAGGGGCAGAGACACAGGAAGAGAGAGAAGCAGGCTCCACACAGGGAGCCCGATGTGGGACTCCATCCTGGGTCTCCAGGATCACGCCCTAGGCTGAAGATGGCGCTAAGCCGCTGAGCCACCTGGGCTGCCCTATAATTTTTAATTGTGAAATATGCTTATTTGAATATGTTGACATCCAATTTAGGACTTTTAAAACAATGTATTAGCCAATCGAAAACATTCCAAGGACCTTTAATCCTCTCATTGAATTGTCTTACTGGGGAAGAGAGTGCAATTGGATGTCACAAAAAGACAACTGAAGCAAGTCTATTCTACCCAAATGGAATAATCATTATTATTAAAAGGAAACCAAGGTAACTAAATGATGATCGAAACAGAAAAAAAAAAAAGGAAAGAAAAGAAAAGACAGGGAATTGTCAGGCTTTGAATTTGGGTTATCTTGTAAATCTAGCAACTCAAGACTAAACCTGTGGGGTTGCAAAATTATAAAGGTTGGACCTGCTAACAAAGCTTCATGATATCCTTGCAAGCATTACCTGACAGATTTCAAAACAGTTTGAATATTAGTCATCACAGATATGCCTGCCAAAAAGGGTAGTGTGTTAAAAGAACATCTGCAGCCCACATAAATACCCCCTGCTGAGTTAAACTCAGAGAGGAAATCGGCTTCAAAAGTTGCAGAAAGCAAAGAAGCTGAAACAGCAGTTTCACAGTAAGTGGTTGATAGGCTTTCCTGTGGGTGAGACTGTTATGAGGAGTTAGTTAGCTCCCAATATATTACATGTTTGACCTTTAGCTTTTGGTGACAAGATCTTTTGAGGATATATTTGGACTCCTCCTACTCAAGGAATGGTGTACACCATAAATTGAATACCAGTTCTGTCAAGTATGGGGATACTAAATGATTAATACTCCTGAGTTAAAATAATACCATGAAATGAAAAAAAAAAAAACAAAAACAAAACCTCACTTAACCCTTGAATGTACCTAATTGCCTTATAGAACCAATAAGGCAAACAAATCATAACAGTTGCTAAAAAACAGCAGAGCCCCAGTAGTAGTATTGTCTTGAATGTTTTCAAACAGCATAAAAACATAAATTCAAACAGAACCAGCCTGCCAAATGGAAGGTGATCTGAAGAATCATCGCTGGTACTGTCTGAGCCTTGTGATTTCTGATGCCTTCATAGCTGATGGCAGACTGTTCCTTAGTGGCCTAACCACATTGTTTTGCCCCAGGACAGAGGAGGTTTGTGATTTGCGGCAGATTTCTGTGGATCCTGAATGTCTGGGCTAGAAACTCTTTATAGAGAAATCCATGTATGTGGTACTACTGAGGATGGTGGTATAGTTTCTTCCATCAGAGATCAGTGTTTAGTGTCTCTTCTTTTTTGACTCAACATATCCAAACAGCACAGCCGTAGAGATGGGAACAGGATTTTCTTCCTGTCTTCTGCTTACATTTATTCTTGTTAAAAGGGAAACAACTGATTCAGAGTTTAAATGCTGTGCTTGTGACTACCAGTTCCATAAAGCCAGAGAAAGAGAGAGAGAGAGAGAGAGAGAGAGAGAGAGAGAGAGACAGAGAATCATATCCTAAACTCCTTCTTGCTTCTCAATCTAAAAGAAAATCCCTGTGAAATATCTTTAGGTCAAATCAGAGCTGTCAATCAATCCCTATCACATTGGTAGGCCTTGGCTGAAGAGGAGAAATCCGGCCTGTGAGTGAGTGAGGTTAGGACTCGGGAATTAGCCTCTTGAACTTAGAAAACGTTGCTGATGAAAGGTGATCTGTTTTATTCTTCATCTACAATTCACCAGTTATACAGCTTAAAGAGCTTTACTCATCTGAGCCAGTTAAGAATCATGATTCAAGATCTCGGGAAGATGACTTGCAGGGCTGTCCAACGCGAAAGATAATTTCGTGGAAATGAATCGTTGAAAGACAGTAAGAGTCCATGATGAAACTACACCCTGGAGTTTGAAAAGAGACAGGGCTGCTTTAAGAGAGAAACAGGAAGTTGTAACTAGAAGCCATCTGAATACTAAGCCAAGGCAGGCAGACGCTCATGAGGTAGCAACTTCTCGGTGGCAGGGCTTATTCTGAAATCTTCAGGCGGCCAGCCCATCTCAGGCAGGTCCTGATAAAACAGCCCATGTCCAGGGTTTTGGCTTCAGGAATCCCAAGAAGACCCGAGAATGGAGAGACAGCAAAGGTTTATGTCAGAGAAGGATGAGTATCAGTTTCAACATCAGGGAGCAGTGGAGCTGCTGGTCTTTAATTTTTTGCTCATCCTTACCATTTTGACAATCTGGTTATTTAAGAATCATCGATTTCGCTTCTTGCATGAAACCGGAGGAGCCATGGTGTACGGTGAGTGCAGAAATCGCAGGATTGGTGTGAAACTTGTTGCTTGGTCGTAATTAGAGACTTGTGCTCCGATGGCAAAGTATTGAAACTGGAGGAAATGTGCTGATTGAAATGTCATTAGCTTGATGAAAGGTGCCGCAGCATAGTGAATGCCCATCTCTCTCCAGATGAGCTGCCGAAATTTGCCCTGTCACAGGAGTAAATGTCACAGTCATGTTATGTTCTCACGCCGCACAGAACGCGAGCCTGTTGACAGATGCAGGTCCATTGTCATGTGGGGAGTCAAAGGGAGCAAACTGTTTGCTTTTGTAATGATACATATTGGGAAGTCATGGCTCCTCGGTCACAAAGAACAGCCCGTCTTTCACAGGAGGGGCTGAGTGAGAAGCACTATCAAGTTCTAGAAATAACATCTTTTTGAAAATGTACGGAGTAGATCCTCTTTTTGTCACCTAGTTTCGAGGAGGAGATGTGCAGAAACATACCCCACCCCTCCTATTGGGATAATTGTATCCAAATCCATTTTAATTATATGGGCAATGTTTTCTTTTCTCATATGAGAGTTTCTTTCTGCAGTACTTTTCATTTCTTAGGCTGATTTCAGACTTTCTAACTTATAATTCTTGCCATTTTAATATCATGTGCGATGCGTCTTTTTTGGGAGGAGAGGGGGCAAGACGTGGAAAAGCATTTTACAATTTAAACTCCCAAAGTGTTACCCCTTCTGTGCGATTTACCATGTCATGCCTTTCAGAAAGTTGAATAAAATGTGACAGAGATTATCTGTACTGTACTCTCATCTTTGAAAGTAAAATGCAAGGCACTAGTAGTTTTAAAACTAATTCAGCTTGATAATAGACAGGAATTTTGAGCACAACGAAAACAGTGAAGCATTGCTGTAATTCATTGCAAAAAAATGTACTTCTATGTTTTGTTTCCCTCATTTTGAAGTCTTGAAACTGTTTCGGTCCCTGAGGTTCAGGGAACAGGATCAATGAACATTTTACATGCAAACCATGTGACGTCCTGATGATAACAATGTACAGTCATGATTTGAGACCATGAGAAATTCTATGCCTTAACTGAATTCTGCTGTGAGATACAAGCTAGGAGCTACAAGTTTTAGGCTAAGCAATATAATTTCTTTCAGGAGGCTTGATGTGCCGATTCCTTCAGAGCATAGAGTTAAATTCCTTTGTATTGAGGTTCTTAAAGCACAAAACTCTCTTTTGAGGGGAGAACACAATCAGGTTGAAGAGAAAGTCAGAGAGAAAGAAGATGATTCCATCAGATGTAAAGCCCTAGGCGGCAGTCATTTGCCCTTCTCCATCAAGAATGAACCACAATATTTTTCTCGACTTGGCTAATCAATAATCAATGAGGATATGGGATGTAATCTAAGAAGCCAGAAACAATGTAATTCTTGGCATAAAGTCTATGTATGGTTTTGCAAGACAACACAGATTTTAAAATTATAGACTTTTATAAAATTACTTCTTCTAATGAGAAGAAAAGATTTCTTCACAGCACTAAGTTTGATTAAACTATGACTCCTTTTGCCAATTTCAGTTTATCTATCATGGAGATTCCATTTTGTAAAACTTTTGGTTAAATTTTGGTGATTTATTAAAATTCAACTATGCTTTGTACTCACAATAAATAAGTGCAACTTTTACTTTTGAGCCTGAAAAAATCCCACATTACCTTTAATTCTCAAAACTTCATGAAATACTTTTAAGTTATGATTAAAGTCATAAAATATTAGCATATTGCACAGTAATTCAGATAGCATTTAAGTTGCTTTCTTAAAGCTTATGGTTTGTAAGAGTGGGATTAAGTTGTCTAATTACTGTTCTTTCATGAACTTTTTATATGTCAGTTATTGAAGCAAGTTCTGAAAGCAAAGTAAAATGATTATAAGAATTGTGAGAACAGGGTCGCTTGAGTGGCTGATCCTTGATTTTGGCTCAGGTCATGATCTCAGGATCATGAGATGGCCTCAAATTGAGCTCCACACTGAGCATGGAATCTGCTTCTCTCTCTCTCTCCCTCTCCCTTTGCTCCTCCTCTCACTTGCCTACATACATGCTCTCTCTCTCTGACATAAACAAATAAAACTTAAAAAAATTATGAAACATATATATATGCATAACTATTCCTGTACTAGAATCCTGAGCATCCTTGAGTTATGTTGAACTATATAAATCAATGAAAAAACTTTTATTTTATTGTTGTTTAATTTTTTTGTTGGTATAGAATTATACTTGTTGAAATTTGAGGGGATCTTAGAGGTTATCTTCTCTAGCTCCTTTGTTATACAGAGGAAGAAACTAAATCTCAGAATAGTGAAGTAACTTCCTCAAAACTGGACACTCATTCATAACAAGGTCCATGTGCTTTTATACATCTATACACATGTCTAATAAGTTTGGTTCCTGTTCATCGTTACCAATAGTCTCTGAAAACAGTCTATATGGATGGCATTAGTGACATATCATATTTCTTCTTCAGGGATGATCTAAATGTTATATCTGAAATGTTTATCAAGACTTTCTGTCTGTGATAAAATAGTCTGAGACTACAACAAAGGAACAGGATTGGGCATTCTAATAAACATGTTTAAATGTGAAGGGAAAGGAAATGCCAAGTGAATGAAGTGACCAGTGCCTGTAAAAGAATTTGAAATCCATGAATTGGGAAGGGGGTCTTAGGGATGATAATTCCAACATCTTAATTTCACAGGCAAGGAAAGAAAAACTTATACAGGTGAAGGTCATGTAATTAGCTGCTGATAGGGAATTCAACCTTCATCTCTACTAAGACATTCTGCCTTTCTGCTGGTATTCTGTTGAAATATGTCTAAGATCGTTAATATCTAATAGATGTTAATGCATTTTATCAGCATATCAGGAATCCAATTTAAAAATTCTAAGGAGCAGGGGCTTAGGAAAGAAGTAAAGGAAAATGAGGGGAAAAGTTATCAAACAGCATTTAACTGTTATTGTTAGAAACAATTTCCAAGTTGTCAACCTTAAAATATCATCCAAAGGGTTGTAGCGGCCACGGAAAGTCATGTGTAGTGTTTGGTTTGATTTCCTGTTCATTGGAGGTAATTCTGATGTTCCAACTACAAATAATCTATTATATGAAAAATGTCTTCTTTTTTGACATAAAGGGGTCCTAAGATGCTTTTGAAGAGCAGTGGCAGCATTATAATAATATTTTTGCTTCATGAGGAACAGTAATGGGTAATTGTTTCTCATGACATTCTATGGCTCTCATTATTTCAGAATTCAAGGATTGGAATCTATAAGTGGTTTAATATCTAAGCAATGATGATATTCCTTTAAATTGGACTAAAAGCTTAAATGACTATTAATGGTCAAAATATTGATTGATAGCAGCTGGTGCACTTAAGTCTGCTCACTTAGGACCCTGTATCCCATGTTCATTGTTCGTAAAAGAAAAATTGCTCCATGTTCCCTGATAGCACTGAGAATTTCATTACCCATCACTGGGGGGTCTCATACTTTAGAGGATATTCATAATGCTATACGTTTTAGGATTGGGATCTAAGCTTTAGGATGGAACAATTTAAACCTCTTAGAATTCTATCTTCGATTTTTATGGCCTTCCGATATGAGGGACAGTCTCTGAACTCATGTGGAAATTTGCTCACTGTTTAGTGGACAGAAGGAAAATTTCAAGCCACAAACTTTAGATTTTGAATTCATTAAACTGTGTCATATTAAACTATGTAAACTATGTCTGATCTTTTAACAGTGCACTTAGCAATATTATAGGATCAAATAATTCACTCAATGGCATGTTTTTTTAAAGTTAAAGATAATATAGTTACATGATGAATCACTAAGGTTTTAAAAGCTATCTTTCTTGAAAAATCGTAGGTTCTTAATTTCATCGTAGCACTGCTTGGAGGTTCCTCAGGATAAAACTGTGCTGCTGAACACAATGTGGCTCCACCCTACTGATCCATGTTGCTGCATTTCCAGCACTGCCTTCCTGGCTGCTAGGACCATAAAAGATGTTTATTACCACTTTGCACTCCTCCCCCTGCCTGGAAGGCCCTTCTGAGGCTTCGTACTTACTCAAATGTGGTGTGCTTTATGGAGAAAGCATTGGATGCTCTTGTGGGGATTTGGGTTTTAAAATCCTGATGACTTTTTTTTTTTTTTTTCCAGTAGCTAGATGCATTACTTTGGGTGAATGACTTAATCTCTGGCCTTATTTGTTTCATCTGTAAAATGAGGAAGAAATGAAAGTATACTCCCAGCTGCAAAAGTCCTTCAAAATTTAGGCCAAGACTAACTTCAGCCATCAGGCATCTCTCAGCCACTCCAATCTAAACCAGTAACTTTCTTCTTAGAACCCTCTTGGATAGGGTTTTAGTTTGTGTTATTTCACCACTCTTCTTCTAGTTCTTCTCTGATTTTGTAATGGGTGCTTGGGAAATTTTATTGAATTCCTGTCAGAAGGGTAAGGAGAGGGGCTCCTGGGTGGTTCAGTCAGTTAAGCATCTGCCTTTGGCTCAGGTCACAGTCCCAGGGTCCTGGGATGGAGCCCCACATTGGGAGGGTCCTGGGATGGCTCCCTGCTCAGTGCGGGGAGTAAGCTTCTCCCTCTGCCCCTCCCCCTGCTTATGCTCTCTGTCTCTCAAATAAAATCCCTAGAAGAAGAAGAAAAAAAAAAAAGGTAAGGAAAGCAAGTTATATCACCAGAACAGAGAGGGTAGGTTGAGGATTCAGGGGTTTATGGATGCATGTTCTGTGAAAATCAGAGTGGTTCTGGTTTAATTTGAAGGGACCTGCAGGAAAGGTAATTAGAGTTAAGAACCCAATGAACTGAACTTGCTCTCCCTTTAGTGTAAAAAAAAGTTGATTTTAAGGAGCTTCAGAGATCAGGGCAAGGTTTTCCGTGCTGTAAAGTGAATATTCAAATAAATGTTGAAAAGTAAAAAAAAAATTCAAGGTATATTGCTTTCT